TAGTTTTGATAACTTACGAATTTTTGGTTGTCCTGCTTATGTGCATGTACCTGCTGATGAGAGATCCAAACTTGATGCAAAATCGAAGGAGTGCATTTTTCTGGGTTACAAGAAAGGTGTCAAAGGATTCAAGTTCTGGGATCCAGTTGCGAAGAAAATTGTGATCAGTAGAGATGTTGTTTTTTATGAACAATCCATGTTGCAACAGAAGAAAGACACGACAGTGGTGGATTTCGAGCAGTTTCCAGTTGAGAAACCAGAAACTTCTCAACCGACTTCTGGTGGTTCCACTACGGATGATTTGCATGATTATAGTCTCGCCAGAGATAGGGTGAGACGGACGAATATAAATCCTCCGAGTAGATTGGGTTTTGAAGACTTGGTCTCTTTTGCAATTATTGTTAGCAGTGATGATCCGGTTAATTTTCATGATGCTTTCACTAGTCAGGAAAACGACAAGTAGATGGCAGCCATGGTTGAGGAGATGGAGTCTTTGAATCACAATCGTACATGGGAGTTGGTTCGCCTTCCTGAGGGTAAAAAGCCAATTGGTTGCAAATGGGTGTATAAGAAGAAACCAGCAGTAACAGAAAAAGAGGGGGAGAAGTTCAAGTTCAAGGCTCGTTTGGTAGCAAATGGTTTTTCACAGCATAAAGGAGTTGATTATGATGAAATTTTCTCCTGTGGTCAGGCACACTTCAATCCGAGCAGTACTTGCATTGGTGGCCAGTTGGGATTTGCATTTAGAGCAGATGGATGTTAAAATTGCTTTTTTGCATGGTGATTTAGAGGAGCAGATCTACATGCGGTAACCTGAAGGTTTCACTCAACCTGGAAACGAGCATTTAGTTTGCAGATTGAAGAAATCTTTGTACGGGTTGAAACAGTCTCCGAGACAGTGGTATAAACGGTTTGACTCATATATGATCAAGATTGGCTACAACCGATGTGAGTATGATTGTTGTGTCTATGTTAAGAGCCTTGATGATGGTTCTTTTATTTTTCTATTACTGTATGTTGATAATATGTTGATTGCTGCGAAGAACATGGATGATGTTATCGGTTTGAAAACTTTATTGAGTCAGGAATTTGATATGAAAGATTTAGGTACTGCAAAGAAAATTCTTGGAATGGAAATTTGCAGGGACAGAGACTCAAGGAGATTGTGGCTATCTCAACGGGGTTATGTTGAAAAAATGCTAGAAAGGTTTGCGATGAGCAGCGCAAAACCAGTTAGCACTCCATTGGCGAACCACTTTAAGCTCTCATCAGAACAGTGCCCTAAGACAGATAAGGAAGCTGAAGACATGGCAAAGGTTCCGTATTCTAATGTTGTTGGCTGCTTGATGTATGCAATGGTATGTACTCGTCATGATTTAGCTCATGCTGTTAGTCAAGTTTGTAAGTACATGTCTAAACCTGGTAAGCAACATTGGGAAGCAGTCAAGTGGATCTTTCGATACTTAAAGGGTACTGTGGGACATGTAATTATTTTTGGTATTCAACGAGATAATCCTTTGGTTGTATGATATATGGATTCAGATTATGCAGGTGACTTGAATAATAGAAGATCTACGACAGGGTATGTTTTTACTCTTGGTGGAAGACCTATTTGTTGGAAGTCTGCTGTTCAATCTGTAGTGGCACTATCTACAACTGAAGCTGAGTACATGGCAGCGGCTGAAGCTGCAAAAGAAGCTTTATGGCTCACTGGTTTAGTGAAGGAGTTGGGTGTTTAGCAAGGTGGAGTTCAGCTGCTTTGCGACAATCAAAGTGCTATTCACTTAGCTAAGAATCAGGTATATCGTGCTAGAACTAAGCACATTGATGTACGTTTTCACAATATCAGAGAGTTGGTTGCATTTGAAGAGATTTTTTTTCAGAAGGTACACACTAATGAGAATGCCGCTGATATGTTCACCAAGCCAGTTACGACAGACAAGTTCAAGCATTGCTTGGACTTGTTGAATGTTTCAAGTTGTTAAAGAACTAAGGTAACCCAACCCACATTGCCGAACCTCGTTAAAATTCTTGTGTTCTTTCGTTTACTTTGCCCGATTTATCAACAAATATATATATATATATATAGTATAATATTTTATAGATAAAATATAACTCTTTTATTTAAAATTCTTTAATCTTACTTACACTGATTTAATAGAAATCAATAAATGATATAATTTTACAAATAAATAAAATTAAAATTAAAATGAACGAACAAAATTAATATTGTTCATTGATATATATAAATCTAATGGTTTATTAGTTAATTTATAATTAATAGAGAGGCGTGTGGGGAATATAGAGGAAACCCTCCAAATGTGAGAGTTTTGAAAGAGAAGGCTCAAGAACCGGCCGCGCAACGGACTAATTTCTTCGGGGCCCCACCATGTGGGATGCTGGTTGCTGATTGGCCCGTTCTTAAGAAAACATCCACTGTACCAATTTACGGCCCACTGGATCCACCACTATCGCAACAAGAAACTATACGACGCCGTTTTAAGTCTTCCGCTCCCTTTCATTTTACCCACACGGCACGTGCCGCACATGTCTCGGAATCTGTCTTCAAAAATAAAAAAACATCTCTCGAGAAAAACCGACCACGCAACGGACTAATTTCTACGGGGCCCCACCATGTGGGATACTGGTTGATGATTGGCCCATTCTTAAGAAAACATCCATTGTACCAATTTACGGCCCACTAGATCCACCACTATTGCGACCAAGCTACGATACGCCACCGTTTTAAGTCTTCCGTTCCCTTTCATTTCACCCACACGGCACGTGCCGCACATGTCACGAAATTTGTCTTCAAAATTCAAAAAAACATCTCTCACTGACAGACAGAGTCATCTTCATTTTTACGCAATTTGACCAGAAAATCATCGTATAAATAAAATAGTATCTATGAGTTATTATTTATAAATATTATTCGATTTAACATGTGAGAAAAAGATGTGTATTCGGTGATTGGTAGGAAGTATCTTAGACGAAAATTGTTGACACCCGATAAAACCGTCGATACCCCTGAAAGGCGCATCCTTAGGACAGTTTCTTATCGGAGTTTTCTGACAACCCTGGAAGGCGCATCTCATGGGGCGCTCTTTCCCCCTCCCGCCCCAATTTCTCACAAAATTCTCCAACTTATTTCCTTAACCAACTGCCTATATATACTTCCTCCCCCAACTCACACAAATCACACCTAAACATATTTTCTTCCTATCTATTTTTAATCTAGTAAGGTATAATTATTTTTATAATTTATTATTTTATTCATTAAAATTTTAATTATTTAAGTAACTAATTATTTTATTTTATTTTTATTTGATTATTTAATTGTAATTTTTTTAGTTAATATTTATTAATTGCAATTAAAAATGGATTGGTTGTTGATCATATTTCGACTCATTTAGTCGTTATGGTAAGAATAAAAACTATATTCATTTTAAATTTATGAATATTCTGAAATCGATTATATATTATTTAAAATATTAGAATTTATTTATTTGAATTTATTTAAATAATTTTGAAATAATAGTTAAAATTTTAATGGTTAAAATTTATTTGTTAGGAAAATGATCGTATATTATAAGTTTTTATTCACAACAAGAAGATGGAAACATTGAGGCGTATCTTACCATATTTGTCTATGGCTGGATTTGGTTACTTAGCAAAAAATTGAAGGAGATTGTAAATTTGAACCCACCGTGATTTCTGCTCTAATTGAGAGATGGAGGACGGAGACATACACGTTAGATTTACCATGTGGGGAGTGTACTATTACGCTAGAGGATGTTTCAATGCAACTGGGGCTCCCGGTCGAAGGAACTGTCATTTGTGGTGTGGCAGATGATGATTGAGTGTTTATGCATGGAGTATCTTGGAAGTTTTCCGCCCAATGTCAACGGTGGCCAAATAAAATTAGGGTGGGTGAAAAGTGAATTTAAAGATTTGCGTGAAAATTTTTTGGAGGACGAGGCAAAAGCATTTGCCCGGACATATATAATACATCTCGTTGGAGGTATATTGATGCCTGATAAATCTCGGAACCATGTCCATTGTATGTGGTTTAGGAACTTGATTGATTTTGAAGTAGCTGACACATTGAGTTGGGGGTTTACAGTGTTGACATTTTTGTTTAGAGAAATGCGTCGGGCTACGAATTATAAGAAGTATGCTATTGGCAATTGTCTCATGCTTCTCTAATCGTGGGCATAATAGCACATGTCTTTTTTGTGCCTGATCGTGAATGAGTCATTTGTATTTCTGTTACTTTCAAGGTATCAATAGTAAATTTATTTTTAAATAATTTTTTATTATTATAAAATAATATATATATTAAATAGGTGGTCAAGTAATAGGAAAATCGTTGTGATATCCCATAAGAATTACAAGATATCCGATTACTTATTGACCAAAAAGCTGGTGTAAAGATACGTTTTTTAATTTTAATTTTTTCTTTAATTATATTTATATAATTTGAATCTCATTTTAATTTTGATAAGAAATCTATATTTTTGTTTTAGTTCAAATGGTTGTCATATTTGGACGATGAATTGAGGGTTTGCATCCCACTTAACCTTAATGGGATATTGGATGTATGGGTGGCGGTTGTGACCCTTATTTGTTATACTATTGTTGAGTGGCATATGACTGATCACGTGTTTCGTCAATTTGGGTTTATACAATTTATTCCAAAAGTACCAAGGAACCTCTACAATATGCATAACATTGATAGATGAGGCAAGAAAGAGGTAAATTGGTTGGTGAAGCATAAAGAATGGTTGGCAATGTGGGAGAACCGACATCAACGCTTGCCCCATCAACAATATATGGAAAAAACTGGTTTGATGGTTTTAGATGGCTATATTGAATAGTTCAACGCAAATGGGAAACAATTATTACTTTCAGAGGAATCACGATGAGGGGTAATTCATCGTCGTCGACAAAACTTTCAACGTCACAACATCATTGTCCCCCCACTACTGGACGGACAACAGGTGCTTTTGGGTCATCCTCAGCTATACCACCTGAACCATCACACCAGCAACTATCGACGTCGATTTATATTCCTAGCCCTCCAATTCACATGGGGACACCACCTTTTCGGACTCTACCACAATCAGATCATATTTCATATTCGCAAGTCCAGATGCTATATCATTCGGTTCAAATACCACCACCGTTTGGTTATACATAGAACCCGCAAGGTTTTATGACACCCACTGATAGATACTTTTCGACTATGCTTACGAATCCAACATTTAGTTCCTACGCAAGTTATGTTGCGGGTGGCCCCCTACCACAAACACCTCAACCGCATCATGCATCATAGACATCGATGTCCGATTTTCACAATTTTCTCTATTTTTAGCTAGTGGTTGGATCGTCAATTATATACCTCCAGAGTCCTTATTCTACAGAGGTCATATATCAACATTCAGCCCTTATCGAGACAATGTTGTTGAGAGTGATGATGACAATAATGAGAAGGAGAATGAGGACGATGATGAGGACGAGAATGATGATGACAATAATAGGGACGACGAGAAGCATCATATAAGAAGAAACACTCCTAGAAGTAGACGACCACCACCTTGTGGAACACATTCCAGGAGACATCGATGAATCTAACTCTTTTAAAGCAATCTTTTTACTTATTGTTTGTTTACTATGACGTAATTATCTCTTATTTTATTTTTTAATTATGTATTTATATGAAGTAAGATTTTTCCTATTAATTAGTTTTTTTCCTCTTATTTTATTTCGTTATTTTGTATTTATATAAAGTAAGTTTTTGTATGATTACTGTTTTTTCAGGAGACATTGATGAATCTAACTGTTTTTTCCTAAGGCCTATATATATATATATGTGCAAGGTGAAAGAAAATTTTAATCTATTCAGGCAAAAGCTTTAGTTGCTTAGCTAGGATGATTACTATTCATGTAAATGTTTTTTTATTACAAATATTTAAGTATATCTTTCAAAAGAGAAATTTCACTTGAGGAGTTGAAGCTTAAAATAGAAAGAAATGTTAAACTCGGGAGGAAGAAAAAGAATCTCTTTGTTATATTATAGATTGTCAATATCATTTAAGAGGTTTTTTCTAAGCGATGATGTCGACCTTTGTGGTACGATTGAGGCATACTACTCTCATTCTATATCTCATGTGGATTTATTTGTAGAGTTTCAGGATGTTGATGATGATGCTTCGAGTTCGACTACCCAACAAATCAAGTAAAATGAGTTCGGGAACACAAAGATAGATGATGAACACCCATAATCATGGTTCAAACACAATTGGGCATCGTAATATCATTAAGAAAAGTATGTTTTAGGTGTATACTTTTATTTACTATTTTAGGTGTATGTTTATGCTTTTATTTATGGTTCGTTGGTTTTGTATGCTTCATGTCATGTTTAACAGTTTGTTGTTTAATGTAATGATTATGATTCGTTGTTTTTATAGTAGAGATCTATAACAAATCTCATATTGAATTTAATTAGTCTTAATAAGAACAAAATCCATTACAATATTGTTTTCATGATTTTAGAAACAAGAAAAATAACCTCTAAATGTGTCAACACCTGAGCAATATGTTTGTGGAATCTTTTTGATATACGAAACCGATAAAATATTAGTAATAGTTGAGATAGTCATGCTTCTACAATAGAAAATCTCTTTTTGCTTCGTCTTTATATGCTTTGGGTTTAGGTTAGACAACACTTTATATCCTTCTTGCAGGCTCTCTTTTATGTGAAACAATTATGTGCCTAAAACATAAGTTGCTTCGATGACACCTACGGTAGAGGCTTGCTTCAAGATATGACAACCAACTTCAACATTGATAAAATATTTGGAAAACCATTGAACTATATTGTTCCTAAACAATGCATATAGATTTCTAGAAACATAAGCCTTTCGTATGAGCAGCCATTCAGAACGATACAAAGGTTTCAATGCATAACGATGAAGTCAAGCATTTACAAATATGAATTTGTAATTTGATGTCAAGTAAAAGTCCCAACAAGTTAAATGAAGGTAGAAAAAGTCTCAAATAGAATTAGAAGCAACGCAATGTAAAATCTCAGCTAATATATCATTTGGGAGATAAGATAATGAATATTTAGTTGACATTGAAAACGATAGAAAAATATATGAAAATGATAGACAATATTATTAGAAAGATACACAAAAGGTAAAGTACCGAAGACCACTTGCTTCATCTCTCATATATATAGTGTCTGACGCTGAATAAGATAAAATTTAAAGAAAAAGAAAGACACGTTTCAATGAAAGTGTTTCCCCATTTTCAGAGAATCTCTGCTATGTCATAGTGTTTTCCATTATTATTCAAAGAATCTCTGCCATGTCATATTGTTTAATCCCATCCGAAATGAAAGGTGCATTATACGAGAAGCGTTTTCCATTATTATTTAGAGAATTTCTGCCATCTCATAATGTTTCATTCCATCATAAATGAAAAACACATTCTAGGGGAAGCGTTTTCCATATTATTAAGAGAACCTCTACCATTTTATAATGTTTCATTCCATCCAAAATGAAAGACACGATCTAGGGGAAATATTTTCCATTATTATTAAGAGAACCTCTACAATGTCATAGTGTTTCATCCCATCTGAAATGAAAGACGCATTCCAGGGAAAACATTTTCCATTATTATTCAGAGAATATCTGCTATGTCATAGTGTTCCATCCTATCTAAATGAAAGGTGCATACTACATTATTATTCAAAGAATCTCTGTCATTTCACATAATTGACATGAATTATTCCCCGACCCTCAATCTCTTAAATTTTTCAATCTTAAACTCTATATCTTTGAAATCTCAAACTCTCAAACATGTAAAGTTTCAAACTTTGAAACTCTCAAACTCCGATACTAAGAAAATAACTCATATTTATGTTGTTGTTTACTATAATAGAGAAATTGAGGAAGATGAATACGGGGTTATTTTCCGATCAGATCATTATATCCTTCAGGAGAAACATCACACTTCATGATTTAATCACAAAAATCTCAAGAAATGATGTGTTGAAAACAGTAGAAGTCTGACTACACTGCAATACATATTTCTGAATGAATTTTTTTGTTAACATATACATCATTCAATCTCTTAAACGGCGATAATGTTAATATGATGTTTGATACTTTCAATCAAAATTTGAACTCTATTGCATAAATGTATGTCACTTTTGTTGACGTGCATCTAGTTTGGGGTATGTTCTTATCCTCCCACTATAGCTTGTATGAACCAGTTTATCAAGTTTATAGTCTAACTTAAACAATCTGTATTGATTTCACGTTATTAATAGCTAACCTCCTATTAGCATACCATTAAGTTCAAGGGGAAGATATTCATATGCCACTTTTTTCGACCTCAATATGGAGATGCCTTCTAGTTTCAAGGGGAGATATTCATCTGTCAACACATTCGACCTTGATATGACAATGTCTTCCACACAACACTCAATTTGTAACCCATATAATGACATCCCTTCAAGCTCCAGATGAAGGCATTCATCTATGAACTTGTTCGAACTAAACATCAGAGTCCTAAAAGAACCCTCATATTCTCCAGAAAAACCTTTTCGTAAGCAAGAAGTAGATAGTGTTGAAACTGGATTATTCTTTGAACCCTAATCATCGCAAATAAACATGGAATCTAATGATGATGCGAATGAAGTTCCTACAAATATATAATATAATACAAACATCCAATACATATGTATAAAGTTGATTATGATGCGATGTATGGGCTAGAATTTGCCGATATACCTTATTTTGGAGACTATTGCAGGCATTCATCAATTAATGATGGTGGTTTATATCGTGGAATGGAGTTCACATATAAAGAAGAAGTAATGATGGCAATTAAGAATTACAATATTCGTAATTCAGTTCATTCTAGAGTCGACCGATCTACCACTGAAAAGTATGTATGTTATTGTGTTTAACGTGATAACGGTTGCAACTGGATGGTTCTGTAACACCCCCAACCCATATCCGACCCGTATACGAGTCTGAGGTGTCACATTGACTTTTTAAATCATTTACTTTGAAAAAAAATAAAATAATTAAATAAAAATTTAGTTCGACATTTTCAATAAACCAAATAATTGCTATTGTGTAAAATATATTGATTTAAAAAACTTATCAGAGCGTATTCGACACCAATCTTTTATCTTACATGCCAACTACATTTCATAAAATGCATATAATTCAAGATTTTTTTGATCTGAACTTCAGGAATGAGATGCTGATCTGATGAGCTCATCTTCGATCCCTTTTTCCTCTTCTTGAAACCTACGTGTGAAACATTCACACGCCAAGTCGATGACTTAGTGAGGCATTAAATTATGAAAGAACTCTAACTATTTACACATGCATTAACATATCATCTTATAATGCCACATCAAAACATATAACATTATATATATCATATACATATCACCCATTATTTTAAATCTCTAACCTTAGTCCACTATCAATATTCTTATCATTTATATCTTATAATTATATCCTCTTATATCTATTCTTTTACTCAATATATTTATTCAATTAACCAAACAATACAAACATCATCATATAAATCATATCATATTATCTAATAAGAAATACATGCATGTATATAAATCATCATTAGTCACCTATCATTTAATCACATAGCACATATATTTAACCTTATTAATCATATACTATACCTATACCTCATCATGCCCTTGCTATAAAATTTATCATATCACAACATATATTTGTTATTATCTTTTGATTAGCCCATGTACATATGTGAGAACTATTGATATATGAGTCTCTAGAGGTTGTGCACTAATGTTGTCACCACAGCTCGTATAAATGCACTGAAGTGCACGTAGAATTACACCGAAGTGCCATATAAAATGTCCCTAAGGACCACGTAGAAAATTCCTTAAGAATTATATACACATGCAAAAGATCAAGTAAGTGTTTCTAAAGACATCACACATGTT